GGGTGTTGTGGTTACGGGTGGAATTAAGGTCACTGTCACCTGACCGTAAGTTAGGAGCGTGTCCCGAATTACGCAGGGGTCCAGTGTGCTCACAGTGGTCCTCGCAGCCGAAGGCCGAGGCAGAGGGAAATCAGAGTGACAGCATGATGTGAGAAGGGCGGGGCCAGCTTTGGCGACAGAGGGAGGGTCCAGGAGTCTTCGGGAGGTAGAGAAGGTAAGAAAGTGGACTCTCCCCTGGAGAACCCCGAGAGGGAGACACCCGCGTTGACACCGGGGTTTTAGCCAGCGAAATCCGTGTACGGCGTTGAACTGTGAACTGTGGGATAATGCATTTGCACTGTCTACGCCCCTAACGTTGTCGCTCTGTGTTGCTGGAGCAACGCAGTATAAAACGTATGTGTCACCGATAAACTTTCCCGACTACCGAAGTAAGGCATGTTCAGAACGGGAAGGGTTACATAAAGACGGCGAAGTACACGTAGGGGATTAAAATGGCCGCCCACTCTTCCCGCTGCGTATCTGTACAGGGTGGGAGCCCTCCAGTTGTTGCCCACGGTCACACACTGCCATCCCCACTTGGCAACACATGTGACACTACGCACTCCCTGTGCTCTACAGAAAATGCAGAAAGAGGGTCTGGCAGGTGGCGTGGTGGTTACAGGTGCTGGACTCTCACATGGCTGATTGTGGTTCGAGTCCTGGACCTGGCAGCTTTGTTTCTCGCTCTCTCTCTTTTCCCCTCTCTGGTCAAGTTAAAATAAATAAATAAAGTCAAATAAAATAACTCTTAAAAAAGAAGAAAAGGTAAAGAATGCAGAAAGACTGCATCTGCGCCACAGTAAGGGACTGAGCCCCACCTGGCTCTCAGGCATTTCCGAGTCTCTGCGATCGCGTGAGGTCACTGTAAATCTCTGGAGGGACTCTGTACTGGTCTGGCTGTCCCCAGTGGGATTCAACCTGCTCTGGACAGGCAGGAGGTCATCACCGTGACAGCCACGGTGAACTGCGGAGACCCCAGGCCACATCCCCTCCCTCCACCTGCCATGCCCACCTCCTCCGGCCCAAGACCCCTGCTTCCCTGTGCTAACAGGGTGCTCTTGGTGCTTCACGTCATAGCCACAGTGGGGACATCGGTGTCTGAGTCAGCCTTCGGGGGAACTTTGGTAGAATGTCCCTCTGTACCCAGGTCAACAACGAGGCTACCTATACTACTCTCATGTCCCCAAATACAGAACGCCGTATTTCAGAAGCAGGGAGAATGAAACCTCTCAGAAAGCAGACAGGCCCCTGATGGCAGAATAGAGGAGGTGAGGTGAGGGGCCTCATTCCAGAAGAGCAGAGCCAGCACAGAGTTAGGGACCCACCGGCTTTCACGCTGCAGGACTCAGTGCACTGCCCTGGGGCAAGGCCGCAGCCACTTTCGAGGTGGGTGGTT